AGGGGAAAAACAACTTTTCTTAGAAATGGTATAGAATTCTTAAAAATCAAAATTTTTTTATCGGGAAACTCTGTTTATCTGCATAAGATTCCCAGTAATTTATTTTTTATTTTATTTTTTTTTTTAATTTTTATTTTATTTATTTATTGAATCTGCCCTGCCTAAGAGCCTAACAATAAGTTTTCGAATCTTAATCTATTCACTTAATTTACATCCCCTAGTTGGGATGAGTATTTTCTTTACTGGCCCTAAGAAAAGATTACGACTGGGCTGGTAAGTCATTTTTACGTAGTCTTGAGGTCCTGTTGACACGCAATAAAGATCTTGCTAAATGATTTGGGTGCGCTAAAAGCTTCGATACATATTTCGTCTTCCGTTGTTCTATTTCGGTTCGTACTTCTGGTATTCTCAAGTCGCGGTGAATGTTCTCATTTCGCATATACCAAGGTGCTCCGGTGATTGTTCGAAGGATTTTAGATTGCGCACGACGAAGGATTTCGATGTTGCTGCTGCTCGCGTTTCCCCATAACTCACATCCATAGGTCCATATCGGTTTTAAAACTGTATTGTAAATAAGCACTTTATACTCCTGACTCAGGGGTGAGCGAGAGTTAATAAGCCAAGTTAATAAGTTAAGGAGAGAATTAGCCTTCAGCTTGAGATGAGTCCTTTTAGCCACTATGTGGTTTCGCCAAGTAATTCGCCTGTCCAGGTGGACCCCTAGGTAAGTGACATGATTGCTTTGTGGTATTTGTACGTTGTTTAAAGTCAAGGGCGGACAGTTACTCATATTCAGTGTAAATGTAACTTGCTTATATTTTTGCTCGTTAACCTTTATTCGCCAGTTTGCGAGCCAATTGGCAACAGCTTCCATATGATTGCCTAGGAGTACAGTTGCTTGTAGAGGACACTTGGAGCGACTGATTATGGCAGTGTCATCGGCAAAAGTGGACATTATCAGGCGGTCGTTTGTAGGAATATCCGCGGTGTATAAGACATACAACATCGGGCCAAGGACACTGCCTTGTGGCACTCCAGCTTCGATTGCATGGGCTTCAGAAATGGTGGTGTTACATCGAACTGCAAACTTTCGATTATAAAGGTATGACTTAAGCAGTTTGTGTGTGCTTTGTGGGAGTAGCATTTGTATTTTATACATAAGACCATCTAGCCAGACGCGGTCAAATGCCTGGGCGACGTCAAGAAATATTGCAGCGCAATATTCCCTCTTTTCAAACGCTGTTCGGATTTCGGTTGTTATGCGATTTAACTGCTCGATTGTTCCATGTTTTTCCCTGAAGCCAAATTGGAGAAGTGGTATTATATTGCGGGCTTGCAGATGTGGGGAGATGCGCAGCATAAGAAGTTTTTCGAATAATTTCGACATACACGGTAGCAGGCTGATGGGCCTATATGAAGATGGCTGCGTTTTGTCCTTTCCGGGCTTTGGTATCATCACAATAGTCGACTTGGTGAGTGGTGAGGGAAATGACAATGTTTAGTGATTGCGTTAAATAGCATACAGTTGCAAAGTACAGCACAATTTGGTAGCTCAATAATCATTTTTGGGGTTATTAGGTCGTGCCCTGGGGCCTTATTTGGTTGCAGTTGATCCTTAATTACTTTTGAAATTTCTTCAGGTACAAATTTCAGCGGCTCACATTTTGACACATTGGGTACGGGTGGAAGTTGAAAATCATTAGTTGCGGGGTTTGGCCTAAAAACATTTTTTAGATGAGAAGCAAGGGTGTTTGCTTTCTCTGCGTCACTCCGAGCCCATTTGCCATTGTGGTCCCGTACTGGCATTTCAGTCTCTATTGGCGCATTTAGCTTGTGGTGTGCTTTCCATAACAAGTGCTTTGTGCTAGTCGGTGAGAGCTTTTGGATGTACCGGTACTGTGCGTACTGTTCCTCGTTCTTGAGGGCTCTCGTCAGTGCATGTGTGGCCGCCTTGAGCAGTTGTTTTGATACTGGTGATCTATGAGTCTGCCATATCCGTCGTAGGCGTCGTTTTTCCAAGACAAGCATTTCAATTTTCCTATTGGTTAAATTATATTTTTTTATTTTGCACATAACCTTTCTGGGGTGTGGAAATGCTAGCGGCTGCTCTAAGTGTAGATTCAAGAGCGGCTATGGAGTTTTCAATATCGGTCGGCGTATCTAAATTTGGATCGAGGTCTATATGCGCACTGATATATTTTTTATACTTTAACCAATTTGTAGCCCTTGTCGTGAGCATATAGGGTGACTCTTTTTCTTGCGGCTGATGCCACAAGGTGAAAAGTATAGGTGAGTGGTCTGATGAGAGATCTGCAACTGATTCTGTACTAATAAGGCCGCGAGGAATTTTCCTTGTCACCGCAAAGTCAATCAAATCTGGCAACTTTTGCGGGTCTGCCGGCCAATATGTAGGCTTTCCAGGAGAAGCGTAATCGAGTTTGTTTCTTCTACATATAAGCGCGTTATATAATTGCTTGCCTTTAGGGTTAGACAAGCGTGAGCCCCAGTAGGGTGCTTCGCATTATAATCACCTGCAGCAAGGAAACGCTCTCCCAGCGAACTGAAGAAATCCATAAACTGTTTTTCTGTTATCGTGAAACGTGGGGGACAATAAACCGCGGACAGCGTAATATCACCTTGCTTTGTTTGTACGTATATTGATGTTGCTTGCAGATAATTCTCGGCAATTCCAGTCAAATGATGGTGTTTAATCCGATTTCTGACTAAAATACCAGTTCCGCCATGCGCCTTTCCATCTGGATCTGGATCGTGCAATAAAAGGTATATCCCGAAATGTCAAAATTATATCTACTAGTTAGGTGTGTTTCAGCAAGGAGGTCAATTTCCTTGTCATTAAGGAATTTTGACAGCTCTACTTTGTGGCGAGGAATGCCATTTGCATTCCAGAGGGCTATTTTAAGGAAGGTCATTATCTTGTTTGCTGAGTAGCAAGCAGGTTGAGCAGCGTTTTTTGATTTCGCATGAGTTCTTGCATTGTGTTTTACAGGAAAGTCATGAAATTCATCATGCTTTGTTGCATCGACGCTATCATAGCTTCAATATTGGATTGTTTACCATATTGTGCATGGGGATGCTGTTCTTGCGGCGCAACTTGAGGTGCAGTTTTTGTAGGGGCACGGTTTTCTAAGCCTGATTTTAAGGCACTTGCAAACGAGACGCCATTGACGGTGTTTGATAGAACTGTTGGCGACGTGGCTCTTTTGGCGAAGAAGACGTCAGGATTCGTTTGGGAGGGTACAAAGGCATTCGGTACATTATGAGTACGTATGGAAGCCACGCGTTGGTTGATCCGGTTTTTTAACTCCTTATAGACTGGACAGCCTCTGTAGTTTGCTGTGTGATTTTCACCGCAGTTACCACATTTTTTCGCACGCGGGTCTTCTTTGTTTGATGTGCAAGTGGCAGAGACATGTAGCTCTCCACAAGCTACGCACACTGAGCGAAGCGTGCAGTAAGACCTAGTATGACCATACTCCTGGAAGTTGGTGCATTGTACAGGGCCATTTCTCTTATGCGGTTCTTCCACAGTTATCCTACGATGCAGCAGATATTTAAATTGGATGCACATCGTTTTTGCCCTTAGGTTTGTTTTCAGGCTCGAGCTCAACTTTAAACATAGGTTGAGGGATTTTGTTCCTATTAAAAATATTCACAGCAGCTTTTGGATTGAAACCTTGTTCTTTAAGTGCTTCCAAAACTTCCACAGCTTCAACGCTTGGTTCGATACCTTTAATTACAATTTGTAGACCTTTTGCACTTTAAGTTGGTATGTATAAAATTTTGTGTTTGTGTCATTCAAGTATTTGGACACTGTTCGAAAATCCTGTTCGGAATAAATTTGTACTTTAGTTTCGCGAATATTTCCCTTAGATAGTGGGATAATATGAAACTTATTACTACCGATTAGCTGTGTGAATTTTTTTACAAGAGCGCTTGGATTCTCTTCTCTTATAAAAATGGGCGGAGGTTTGGCATTAGTAGCTTTTGCAGCACCTTCAGAAATTTGGCTATTCACATCATCGGCATTGTCACTTAGCAGTGCAAATCTATTCGTACTGACTTGCTGAGTTGAGGTAAGGCGGTTTATTTTTGTCTTACTGCCCGTTGAATTTTGCGGACTAAGTTTTCTTTTATTGTAACGTAGCGGTCCATTCCAGTCTGTATGGCCGCATTTTTAGTTGTTTCGTTTTCCAACTTTTCTTGCGCTTTACCTTTGTTACCAGTGCTTGTACTCAAGTTAATTTGTGCTTGTGCAGCAAGAATAGGCCGGGCTGTTGACACCGCTGTGCAGTCGGCAGGTACCGGTGTGTTTGTTGTTGTTGTTGGCGCGATAGAGGTAGTAAAACATGTCACTGTACTAGTTGTTGTTGCCGCTATATTTGGGGATATGTTATCGCTTACCGAATTTGATGTAAGCGTTGGGCGTGAAATGTGATACGGCACAGGTGAAGCGCACTCTTCACTCCAAGCCATCGGAGTCGTCAATGGTAAGTTTGGAGGACAAGTCCGCTGACCTGAATCTTGAGGGGGTTTGAGGGTGGTCGATGGATTGGGCTTTGCGCTTTCGCTGTCACTCTGGGACCGAATAGAGAAATATGCGTTGTTGCGTTGAACTGAAAGCCGGCGCTCATTTTGCTCGCGTTGTTTCTGAGCTCGGATTTCAGCTTGACTCATCGCTTTCCCAGTAATAATACCCAATTGTTTATTTAACCATTTTTCCATCGCAACTATAGTTTATAGGTCCGCCAAAAACCCTCAAAAACCCCGAAAAATGCAAAAGAGGGACCAATAAAAAAGCGTTAGTATTAAAAAATGGTTAAATAAATAATTGGGTATTATTATTGAAAGACTCCTGAAGAGAACCAGAGTTTTCCGATCGAAAAATATTGATTTTCAAGAACTCTATACCATTTCTACGAACAGTTTTTTTGAGCGACCTCTAAAAATTTATTGATTTCAAAATAAAAAAATAGGGGTATACCTTTTTCCATATAGAACAATCCTAGGGGGTTACAATTCCGACTTTACTGTTTTTGGACCACCCTAATGCACATATGTATGTATGAATGCATAATACCCGAAACTTTTTCGTCATATCAGATCTGTACCGTTCATTCGATTTTACAAAATGAGGTATCAAATTAAAAGGCTTGGCCTATGGATGTGTAATAACGTATTATTTTTTCAAAAAGAGTTGCCACCTGATAAAAAATTAGATTCAAATTATTTTTTAAGTTAAATCAATTATTTCGCTATTAGTGTCGATCGAAATGGCTTTGAAAAGCCTTTATTTCATAATTATATGTGGGAGGGTTGCCATGTTTCAAAAAGCAAGTTCGGCTTAAATAGAGGCAGAAAATTGAAATGTATATCCTAATATGGATGTCAGACGAACATATTTTGCAGAGGGTTGCCACCTTGTTACAAAGTTAGATGCAATATAAGCAATAGGTTAAATAATTTACCTCAATATGAATATGAATCAAAATTGCTTTGAAGAAACTTTATTTTCAAACTGCATGCAGGAGGGTACATATGTACAATATGTATGTATGAATGCATAATACCCGAAATTTTTTCGTCATATCAGATCTGTACCATTCGTTCGATTTTACAAAATGAGGTATCAAATTAAAAGGCTTGGCCTGTGGATGTGCAATAACTTCTTAGTTTTTCAAAAAGAGTTGCCACCTGTTAAAAAATTAAATTCAAATTATTTTTAAGTTATATCAATTATTTCACTATTAGTGTCGATCGAAATGGTTTCGAAAAGGCTTTATTTCCTAATTATATGTGGGAGGGTTGCCACCTGTTTCAAAAAGCAAGTTCGTCTTAAATAGAAGCAGAAAATTGAAATGTATATCCTGATATGGATGTCACACGAAAATATTTTGCAGAGGGTTGCCACCTTGTTACAAAGTTAGATGCAATATAAGCAATAGGTTAAATAATTTACCTCAATATGAATATAAATCAAAATTGCTTTGAAGAAACTTTATTTTCAAACTGCATGCAGGAGGATTGCCACCTAAATTCATAATTACATTCAATTTGAATTAAGAGTATTAGATAATTTAAATATGTATCACAATAGAAGTGTCAGACGAAAAAGGTTTAACGAGGTTTTGGTTTAAAAATAAGTTTAACAGCATGGCCATCAGTTTGAGAAGCCGAATTAAATTAAATTATATGAAATATTGAAATATTGGCGTCAAACAAAGGAGTGTTAAGAAATATTTAGTTTGAGCATTTATAACATTAAAGAGGGTTTCCACCTGAGTAAAATGTTAAGCTCAAATTATTTAATAAGTCAAATTAATCATTAAAGTATGGGTATAAATTGACATGGGTTAAACATGTTTTTTTCTGAACTTTATATGTTTTAGAAATTAAATTAAATTTGAATTAAGGGAAATAGATACACAACTTAAATATGTATCGCAATATGCGTGTCTGTCGAAAAACAAGGTTTTGGTTTTAAAATATTTTGGATAGGGTTGCCGCCTGTTTTAAAATTAGAATTTTATTAAAGTATGCATAAGTTAAATGAAATATTAAAATATGACGTGAAACGAAGGTGGTAAGATATCCTTAGTTTGAATATTTAGAATATTTATAATAACAATATTTAGAAGAGGGTTGCCACCTGTTTAAAAAGGTGGACTTATATTATTTAATAAGTTAAAGCAATTATTAAAAATATGGATATCAAATGAAATGGGTTTAAAAAGGGTTTATTTCTGAAGTGTATTTAGAAGCGTTGTCACATATTTAAAAAATCAAATTTAACTTAATTCATCGAGCACATGAAATATGTAGTTATCATAATATCAGAGATTTGTTTATTTGTATATTGCCAGCAGTTTCAGAAGTCTTAGCTAACTTATGCACAAATCCGAAGACGAGCACTAGCACGAAGATGAATACTAATACGGGGACCTAGGCTGATATAAAAAGTATGAAATGTAAATGAATCGAAGTAGTTATACACGTCATGGCATATATCTACAGTGACGAGCAAAACTGTAACATGGTTTAACACTTTTTATTTTAGGCACCGCTATATCTCCAAGTTCTAACGACTTTCATCCTTTTGTTGTATATTCTTGTTGGTACACCCCTACTCTCTCTCTCATTACGATTTGCAGTCAATACAACAACGATAAAAAAACCAGCAGACAAAAATGTAAATGAAGGCAAATGTTACAGTTTTTCTCTCACTCTCAGTTTTGCATTTGACAGTTATCTCTTACTTAGTTGGAAGTCAGATGACTTTTTTCTGTATTGTAATTTATTGAAGAAGTGATCACCAGTAAATAATATGATTAATCAGGAACCATAAATGTAAATAATAGATTTACTGCGGAAAGGCGGGACGGCAGGAAAAGTGGAAAAAAATGTGAAGTTTGCTACTTGAAAACGTTAAGACTGAGAAAAAATATAGCCTAAAGTGTTGCCAAGGACAAAGGAAGTCTGTAAAAAAATATTACGGTCCGATATCTTGTGAACTTAGCAGCAAGTAGCGATGCAGCCACTATTACAGAAGCGCTTAAGGTATTAAACTTTAATGCGAATCAGTAGACAGCGAAGCGAGGTATTGCCAAATTGAGCGCAAAGGCATCATAAAAGAAGAAAAAAAGCAAATTTGATCAAAATACGTGTGCGAGTGTGGCAGCATTTTGCTGCATCGCACGAAAACCAGACCGTTTCCTATTGGCATATGTTAGGCCTTTCAGAATGCAATAAAAAATAAATTTTGAAGTTTCTGTTGAAGGTTATTTGGTCTGACAATACTAAATTAATCGCTTTCAATCAGATCGCTGGGCATGGTACTAGATCAAAGACCTAAATTAAGCCCATGCGCATCATGTAAAGCAAATTGTGAATCGCAGTGGCCGCTCAAAAATAGTTTGAGGTTGTATTTAAAAAATTTGTTGGTCCGTTAGTACGAAATATGCGTAAGGAACACTACCTGTTCATATTTCAACAAAATTTGCAAGATGTAGTCGAAAAAATGAGTTTCTGCTGAAAAATCACCCAAAACAGACTGCACATGTTCGCAAAGCCAGGATACAAAAGCAAAAATTTGATAATTTGAAATGACCGCCACAATCCGCGGACATGAATCTCATCGAGAATTTGCGAAATCAAACTAAAAGCACAGCTTACTAAGTATCCAAGTCCGTCCAATGGAGTATATGAGCTGTGCAAGCAAACTAATGATATATGGGAGGATATACCTCCAGAATTTATACAGAGATACAAATAAGGTATGCCAAATCGCGCCCTGGAACTAAAAAAGCAAAAGGGTACTGAAAATTGTGTTAATAATTCTTTTTTTCGTGAAAGTTATCAAAAAGTTATTAAAAATATATAAGAGCAAAACTGTACATAATATTTGCCTTAATTTACATTTATGTCTACTGGTTTTATTATTGTTATTGGATTGACTTCAAATCGTTATGAGAGAGGAAGTACAGGTGTACCAGTAAGAATATACAACAAAAGTATTAATATGGTTAAAACTTGGAAAGATAGCGGCGTCTGAAATAAAAAGTGTTACACCATGTTACAGTTTTGCTCGTCACTGTATTTATAAGCTGATAGTACATATGATTGAAGTTAATACGGATCTTCGTCTCTATTGCTAATATTTTGCAATTCATATTGATTTATTAAATTCAATTCAATACAATTAAAACGAAATTTTCATGTTTAACTTGAATGTGATCTTAATAATATCACGTATTCTACGTTTAAGTTTAGTGGCTGTGTCTTCGACTCAGCCTGCAGGTCAAGACGAAGGCGCTGGACCGATCCTTTTTAATTCGTATTTCTATCCTACTGTATGTACCTGCGGAACGTATTTTTATCCGGGCTACCAACATTATGGTGTGGAGGAATGAGATGTGTAATCAAGAGATTATTTCCTTCCCCTTTAACTCATTCGTCCATATCGATTTGTAGTTACAATACAAAGTTCAAAAATGTTCCACGTTCAATAACATACTAATTTTGTAATAACTAATTATACTGGTTTTATTTATAAATTTTTAGAGTATATTGTACTTTTTTTTAAAGTTTTTTCTTCGTAAAATTAATCCTACTTCTAACAAAATTCATTCCTTTTTTCCTTTCCTTTTTCATTTTTTTAAGATAAATGACATTTTATGTACGTCTAATTGTGCGAATTTTTCACAATGAGTAGATTAAGTAATTACTAGTTTATGTGTATGGGTTTCTTATGCCAAAATATGTAATTACCTCAGAAGACATCGGCTTTATAAGAGACTTGAAAAATAAGTTGCTTTATTATTTAAAAAAAGTTGTTATTGAAAACTTAACAGATTTGCACAAATTTGCGCTTTTTATACCCGCCAGCAAAAGAGCTTAAGAACTTTACGAATCTGAGCAAAGGTACACAAAAGAGAAATGTTTACAAATTATGAGAACGTTAACTGAGAATTCTGACAGTACAACGGAACCACAAATTGCGGATACACCTTTGTTACCTTCAGACAACTTTGAGCTGTTTTCAGGTCTTCTTAAACAACCCACCTTTGTGAGCAGAACTGATAAAGCTACTGCAGAGCTCCGGCGATATGACAATATTGAGCTATATTTTCATACGGACTTCGATATAATTAATTGGTGAGAGGTATACAAATGCGCAA